AACACTTTTTTTCGTAAAATCACGAAAACTTTTTACAGTGTGTACTTCAGCGCATGTAAAAAAAAAGGCTAACAACAAACATTTTAATGATCAGAGGTGGTCCCGAAAAATTGCCAGGTGACTGACTTACCCTGCGCACTTTTGTATAGTTATGCTGTATCGAATTCCTCGGAATTCCTACGTGCGGGCGGGATGCATAATCGTTCACGCTGTCAGTAAGGACCGTGGACAGGAATAATAAGCAAGCCCACCCGCACGAATGCGTGCGGTACAAGTTCTACAGAGCGCAGAGTTAATCAGCCACCTGCTACAATAATAAATCACCCCAGTCAACACTGTAAGTTTCTTACGAACAACTGTTCTTCGACGTTTAAGATATGGCTGCCTCTAGGTCCTTATTTGTGTTAGGCTACATCCTAATTCTTCGTAATACAGACACAGCTCCGTCTAAGGAACTCAAAGCGAAATAACAAGCGTGGTGTGTGCCATCCCTTCGGCAGGGTCATAGGCCGGCTATGTAAAATTACCATAGAAATGCCTGGTGGGTGTAGCATATTGCATAAGTCGGTATCGACATGACGCAGAACTTCCCACGAATGGATTGCACCCGCTTGACCGGGGGGCCTCCGGCCAATGGCTGCCCAGCCCCCGGCGCGCCCCGGCGGCCGCTGACGTAAACGGTACGGTCATCTGTATTCCTCGACGTTGCAACCGCCCTTATCGTTTTTTAATCCTTTAGAAAAAATAAAAAAATAATTGTAATTCCTGGTAGGCAGGGGTGGTACGCGGGTTGCGAGTATCGGGACTAACGACTCACCGGATGCCCAGAATAACCGATGAGACATCCCGCAGCTATCGGGCGATGAACACCCTAATCCTAGCGTCTTTACAGCAGCCGGCGATGGCGCAGACATCAAAGGATTACCTCGTCCTCTCTGGCCAATATGATGACTGCTTTACCTGCACCAACACCGCCGCCCCCCGGCCGCCCCCAGCCAACCCACCGGGCTGGATAAGCTGATAAGCTGATGCGCCATGCGGTCCGGTCCCCCGAGGAGAGGCGAGAGGGGGCTGGGCGGGGTTAGCGAATGTAGAGGGAGCGCCGACAAGGACTGAGCGTTTGGAGCGTTTGGTTCGAAAGCGACAATCGTCGCATTCAGACAGGCATGTAACTCGTCAATAATGCAGTATGGCTCATGGCCGTGAACAAGAGAGAAATGAGGAAAAAAAAAAGTGGTCCCTCACTATTTGGTGTGATTTACTAAAAGGAGAACATAAAATTTTAAATAAGAGCGACGCGCGTGCTAAAAGTAACCTGGTCAATAACTAAACGAAATCTGTAACGGTAGTTGACGGTTTACACATGCGTCTTATAGCACTGTGAAAAATACTCGTAAGGGCTACGGGAAAATATTCCATGAATTGTCGTAAGTTTGCGATGATATTTTTCACAGTACAACGCAAATCGGACACATTTTTTATCAGATGTCATGCGTCGTTTTTTGTTTGTTTTTAATTCGTTTGCCTAGACCTAGAAAACAAACTAAGAGATAACGAGAAAAAGAAATGCTGTCAGCGGGCCAAGGCCTTTGCTTAGTTTGAGCAGCAGCAGCAGCAGCAGCGGCAACACCACCAGCAACAGAAAGTGCGGGACACAGCGGTGCGCTGCGCTCCGCTCCCATCCCAGGCCGGCCCAACAATAAGTTCATGGCGTGACCGCGTTTCAATTCACAGCGAATAATTCGCAGCATTCGCCCCATTTGGACACATTTTTCTTTCGCCACGACGTTACATTGCGTGTCCAGAGAAGTAAACAGTTGATAATGACAGTTACTGTTATTATTGTGGATAGTTATCGCTGTTACTGCTGTCGCTAAAGATGTGCAAAATTAGTGACATAGAGGTTGATCCCCACAACGCTAAGTTCAAAATATAAGCGATGCGCTGTTGCCATCGATTCACTGGCGCAGAATAAAATAGAACTAAATACGTCTGCTGCAGCTGACGCTCATTTTTCACCTGGGTCCACACACCGCATTGCAATAAAATCCTCGGGGATTTATTCACCGCAACCTTTAACTCGTGCGTTACTCACCAATTAAGTTCCACATTTATAACTTCACATATTTTCATTTCTTCTCTGCCAATCATATACACACGGGCACGGGCGGCAGGACAACGACGATGGAAATAGCGTCGAGGGCTCGGTAGAGGGAAATGACCTATCGGGCATTTCATTATTTACCATGCAGGTCATGAGCGGGTAAGAGAGAGAGAGAGAGAGAGAGAGAGAGAGAGAGAGAGAGAGAGA